GACGCTGATGCTGATGCCGATGCCGTTGCTGATGCTGACGCGGGTGCCGACGCGGATGCGGATGCGGACGCCAACATGGATGCGGACGCAAACGCAGACGGTGATGCGGCGGCTGATGCTGATGCTCAGGCTTATTCTGACGTTAATGCTGAGCCCGCCGCGGAATCTGCCGATATGGAAGCCCCGAAAGCAGAGCCGAGCGAGGAACCACCCACAAAGCTAGCAGGCGAGGTATCACAGCCCAGTCCAGCAGTGGCTGCATCTGGCCGAAATCGAGCTGTGGCTGCGCTGCGAGAGTCTACGAAGCTCCGCCTTTGCTTTGCTGCCATGTCAGCTGCATCTCACGAGGGCGTTTCGAAGGACAGACCTTCGCAGAGCCAGCAGACAGCCGCGCCTGCAGCGAACGGTCTCGATGAAGCGGCGGGATCCGAACAGGCCGAAGAGAAGGTCGCGGTGAATGAGCAAGACTCGACTGGCGACGAGCAGGCGGCCGCATCTACGGCGCCTGCAGATGGCGAGAATGTGCCCGCCCCGGGCGAGAACGACGTGAAGGAGGTGAAGGACGAGCCCATGGAACAGACTCCTTCGATGGCTGTCGATGAACACACGGACACGACGACCGCAGATCAGCCTGCAGCGTCCAAAGCAGCAGCAGCCGTCAAGACAGAAGAAGAGGAGTCCAAGGTGGACGCAGCAGGCAAAGAGGCTACGGAAGAATCTGTACCTGCCAACGATGCGGCAGAAGCAGCCTCCACGGACGGCACTTCCCGAAAGACGCGCCAGACTGCCGATGCGGCTCCGCAGTCCAAAGGCCCGCCGCAACTCTCGCTGAACCGCATCTTTCTCTCGTTCGCAGCCAACCGGAAGCGGCTGGCGATCGACGCCGAGGCGGTGCGGTCGGTCAGGATCCACCGTTCGGAGCATTGGATCGAGATCCGGCTGCTTGCTGCCCGCGCATCCGGCCAAGCGGCGCGCAAGAAAGGCGACGAGTATCTGGTGAGCCGCGGCACGCTGCTCGAGAAACGCGACAAGGGGCAGGACAACTACACTGCGCTGACGCGGAGCGAGATCGCGGCGGCGTGGGCAAGCGCTGGGGCGAGTTCCGAGGCGAGCAGCGGCGCGGACGACGGAGGGCACCTGGAGCTGCCGCCGTTCTTCCGGCTTGGCGACGAGGCGGACGCGGGCTCGGAGCTGACGCTGCTCGTACATCTTGATCCGTCGGCGCCGCTGCCGGAGCCGGCGTGGCTGCGCAAGAACGAGGTGGACGATCTGCTGGCGAGCCTGCAGCAGCGTTCGGGCGGCGTGGAAGCCGCGCAGCACGTGTGGTTTGGCAAGGTGGAGGTGGTGGATCCGGATCCGCCGCCGTCGATGACGACGGTGCTATACGAGTGGGTCAAAGAGTCGTTGATCGGAAGCCAGAAGGAGCGGCGCAAGTTTGTCGACGATCTGCTGCGCAACCGCCCACGCCGTGCGCCGGTTGAGGTCAAGAAGGAGCAAGTCGAGCCTGCTGTTGGAGTCAAGACGGAGCAGGGTGCGACAGAGGTGGAGATGGATAGCGAGCGGGATGCGCGTGTGGCACGCGCGTATGTCGAGATGGTTCTGCGGCTGCTCAAGGGCGAGCGTGCTGGCGTCAGCGCGGGGTCGGGCGAGGGTCTTGCGGACGTGCTGGGACAGGCCACGCTGACGAGCAGCACGACGTGGGCGGGGCTGGTGATGCTGGCGCTGCTGCAGCTGCCGCTCGACGCGGGCGTGGCGCCGGCGCACGTGCGCGCCGCAGTCGATGCGCGCCTCATACAGATCCCGCACGCCACGCTCATCCGAGCCATCGACTTGACGTGGAAGGACACGGTCGAGGCCGAGAGAAAGAGCGCCGCGCAGCCGGCCGGAAGCCAGCAACAGCAGCAGCAGCAGCATGGAAGACATCGACACCACGCGCACGGTCGAAACCGGTCGGGCCATGGCGCGCACAAGCGCAAGCGCAACTAGATGTGGAATTGCGATTCATCCGCCAGTGTAGCTACAGTGTGTGCATTGTCGGTGGTGTGGTTTGCGGGATTCAGGGGCAAATGATTGGATGTGTGGCGACGCTCAACAATTTGCGGGTGAGGTGTGCTTTTGACGGAATGCACGATGGCAGTCTGTCAATCGACTTGGTGGTGGAAGACAGCTTTGTGTCGCGCATCGGGACCGAAGCAAGCTGAGACGTGGAGAAAGACCGGAATCGAGCAGGCAGGGTGGTCTTGTCGTGCTTATGACCTTGCAGTACGCGACGCGGGTGGCTTGAGAGCAGCCGTAGTCTCGAGCGTTGGAGAGCAACGATGGTCACAACGATGGTCACAAGAGCATTTGGCATGTGGATTCTAGCTGGGCATGCATAGCACTACTCACACGCGATGCAAAGCAGTAACAGGCTGTTCGGATCGCCAGCGCGTTACGATTTCAGCATGTCAGGTGGGTAAGTTTCGGAACACTCGTGCTCATCAGAAGCTGCTGGTGCGAACGACGCAGAACCTCTAGCCGGTAGCCGAGCGAGATTCGAGTGGTGGTAGCATGTTGAAAAGGCGATTGGGCGATTGGGCGGTAGAGAAGGTGCATCTGAGCTGGATGGGTTCGAGGGGGTGGTTGTTCGCTGTGCGGAAGAGAGTTTTGTAAACTGCCATTGAGAGATTGGCCACACACTACTGGCAGTGCGACTACTTGATCCGATCGTACTGTCAAAGCATCCTTTGAAGGCCGATGGCTATTCGAACGGGGGCACTGTGTCAAACTTGTACAAAGTGCGCGGCTAGGCATTGAGCGGATTCACATTCAACGCTGGCCTGCTTCTATCACGGCTTCTGCGTCAGCACACTTTGCTTAGAACCACTCTGGACGGCGCCGAATTCAGCTGGCGCGCTAGTCGAGCCAATCGATTCATGAAACGTGTTGAAACGAGCCGCTTCAGGTTGACGCTCAACACGACACTGCGACGCGAACTGTGAAAGCCAGCACAGGGATCCGGTCGAATCAAGGGCAATTTTGTCAGTTGAGCTACGATTGCGAGCGCAAAGACGTCGGGCGCCCGCCTCGTCAAACACTGTCGAACAAAGCTTGAGGCCGAATGGAAACGAGCGTGCGGGCTACAAGACCACTGCACAAAGGATCGAGGCCAGCCGGTCGCAGTCCAGCTGAGCAACGGCGATCCTTGCTGCCATTCAGGTGTGGCGCAAGAGTGCGGGGCACAGTAAAGCTCGTGCTCGATCCCAGGATATCCCCCAGCGCGTTGGTCTACAACATAAAAGAGTCCGCCTTGATCGCGTAGCTAAGCACACATGCACACCGTGCAGTAGCACACTCGATCCTCAAAGCCTTGCTATCCCGACCGCACCGCGCACAGCACCGTCCAAACTCGACTTCCAGCCGTGCAATCGTCAGAATTAACCAACAGCTTCACATCGAGCGATCATCGTAGACCGCTTCAAACCCCCAAAGCTCGGAATTCAAGCCCATCCAAACTATTCGGGAGATAAGAAAGGCCAATCGCTATTTCAAGCGGGCCCGGTGCAGAAAACAACTAGTATACATCCCACATCTAGGCATAGAACTTCTTGTTGATCAGATGCACCAGCAGATTGACGTTGACGCACGCCGTGCCGTCAAGCACATTCAAGCTCGTCGCATTGTTGAACTGCGCCTCGAGCAGATCCTCGATCCTCAGGTCCGATGCCAACCCGGCGTGCGGGCCGTTGACGACCTCGATGGTAAACACGCCCGCCTGATCCGACGAGATGGTCAAACTAACCTCGCCCGCTGCATCGGGGGCAGCGGATTTGGCCACGCCATCGATCGATACCAGCACGCCCTTTTCGAGCAGCTTGGCAGCCGAATACTTGTACGAGCCAAACTTGGGCACCTTGCCACCATTCTGCTTGAGACTGCGCAGGTGGAAGTACTGCTGCGAAAACGGCAGCACAAATCGCTTCTTGCCCTTGCGCCCCTGCATCGTCTGCATGGATGCATCAATGTAGCTGTGGTACGAGTGGATCTGCTCCTCGAGGTACGACTTCTTCTCACCAAGCGTCTTGAGCGTCGCATGCATCGCTTGCTTCTCGTTGTGCCGCTGAATCCGCTTCCGATGCTTGTTGCGGATGTCAATCGCGATGGCGTTCAGCATGTCTTGGTACTTGTTCGCCCGAGACACCTTGCCCAGCTGCTCGAGCTGCAGCATGTTTTCGAGCGTGCGCGCCTTGAGCTCGGCAAAACTCAGCCGGCGCACATCCTCCAGCCTCGCCCCTGCCGCGCCTCCGTACAGAGGGATGCCAGGAGGTCGCTGCCCACGTTGCCGCTGTCGCTCAGCGGCGACCTCGAGCGAGACAATCTCCTCCCACTGCAGCTCCTCCTTGTCTGTCACCGGTGCGACAAACACATCCACCAGCGTCTTGCCCGACTGCACCTTGAGCAGCGACAGCACCAACCGCTTGGTCTCGACGAACAGAGCCTTCGTCTCCGCCTCCGGGTCCTGCAGCGTCGCCATGCGCGATACGAGCTCAAAGGTGATCTCGCTGTCGCGCGCCGAGTTGAGCTCCTGCGTATTCGACACGGGCGCCGCACCCAGCTCGCCCAGGATGACGCGCAGCGGATCGTCGGCGTGCGGCGCGAGATGGTCCAGCTGCTGCGTGAGCAGCACGTGCATCGAGTAGATCTCGTTGGGCGAAATGTAGATCACGGGTTTCTGCTGCACGGTATGGTCCAGGAACTCGTCGGCGCTAAACTGCATCTCGGCGTCCGGACAGTCGATGACCGCATGCAGCCACTTTGTAAACCGCTCGGCCGCATGCGAGACGTACTCGTTCAGAGGCTGCAGGTACGGATTGTCGTCCGAAAACAGCCGCCCGACGGCGATCTGCGTGAGCATCTTGGACACCTCGGCCAGATTCTTGCGCTGCACCGGCCCGACGATCGAGTCGACCACGTCGTAGCCCTCGGGCGCCACGATGGCCGGGTTGAGGTAGCGGTAGTACACCAGGTGGCCGACGACCTTGATCAGCGCCCCCTCGGGCTCGTTGGGGAACTTGGCCTGCAGCGCGCGGAACACCTCGCGCGCAATGTAGCGCACGCCGTACGGCATCTTGCGCGTCGACGCGACGATCGCCGAGAGGAACGCCTCGGTGGTGGCGCGCAGCGACTGCAAATGACGAATAAAGATGGTGCGCGCCATGGGGTCGGCGAGCGCATCGTTGAACGCCACCTCGAGCGGCCGGCGCGACGGGTGGCCCGTCTCCATCTCCTCCTGGTTGATCGTCGCGCGGTAGATGGCGCACGGGTCCGTCTCGAGATCCAGGCCGTCCTGCTGCATAATGTCGTGCACCAGCGGCGACAGCACGTCCTGCAGATACTTGCGCTCGCGCGTGCCCCGGTTGTACTGCGCGACGAGCTTGACGAACTGCGCATTGCCGCGGATAAAGTCCTGCACGGTCGACACCAGGCCGAGCTCCTCGTCGATGCAGCGCTGGAAGAGCTTGAGCAGCAGGAACTCCTCGCGCGCCTTCTGCGCGTATCCGAACAGCGTGAGCACGATCTTCTCCATCTGCCGCTTGTCGCGGTCCGCCATGTCGATCTTGCCGACGCGCGCAAACAGGCGCGCGAGGTACTCGGGCCGCGTCTGGAGCGCATAGAAGAGCTCCTGGTACAGCTCAAACTTGCGTCGCGAGGCGCGGTCCAGTGCGTGGTCGGCAAAGGGGTCGTTGGCAGCCACGAGCACCGAGTTGCGCTTCTGCACCGCCGCCGCCGCATCGCGCTGGCCGAGCAGGCCGCGCTCGTTTTTGGCCTTTATCAATTCCTCGATGCCGATCTTGTTCTTGACGAGCAGGGCGATCTTGGTGTCGAGCTCCGAGACGTCCGACTCGAGCGTGCGCGACTCGCGGATGGCCTGGACGACGAGCTTGCGCAGGCGCTCGACCTCGATCTCGTCTTCAAAGTCGGCGTCCGAGTCGTTGAGCAGGTGGCCAAAGTTCTTGATGGTGGCGACGGGCACGTTCTTGCCCATGGTGAGCGAGCGGTACTGCTCGCCCTGCTGGCGGCCGCGGAAGAGGCTCTGGATCTTGACGACCTTGTCCATGTGGTCGTGGTAGTGGCGGAGGCGCGCAAAGAAGCGGCGGCGGCCGAGCGTGCCGCGGATGAGCGACTGGAGGTGGACGGCGACGGGCTCGCTCTGGTCGAGGTGGTTGCGCCACCAGGCGTACTCCTGGCGCACGAGCATGCCGCGGATGGCGGCCTGGATGCCGACGACGTCCGGGGTGACAAAGTCGAGCTGCTTCTTCTGCTCCTGGTGCTTGCGACGCGCGAGGGCGGCGCGCGCAAACGACTGGAGCCCGCCGACGGCCGCCTTGACCTCGACCTTTTGGAGGGCGGAACGCATGCGGACGTGGTCCTTGCGTGCGAGCACGCCGCGGATCTGCGCCTGCACCTGTGTGATGGCGTCGTTGGAGCGGCGCAGACCCTGGATGGTGGCGAGCAGCTTCTGTTTGGCGAGCGCCGAGCGACATGCGGCCTGGAGCTTGATGACGTCTTCGGTCGAGTCGGCGAGGCGGTAGATCAGCTCTTCGTACGCGCGACGTGCGAGGCGGCCGCGGGCGTGCGCCTGCAGACCGACGACGCCGGTCTCGTGCTTGTCGAGCGCCTTGATGCTGGCAAAGAAGCGGCGTCGGTAGAGCGCGCCTCGTGCGCACGCCTGGAACTGCTCGATGGCGCGCGCATTGTTGGCATCGTGCACACGCTTGACGCGCTCGACGTGGGTCTGGCGCGCGAGCTTGGCGCGCACGGCTGCCTGGAGGCCGACGAAGGTGCGCGTGCTGGTGTGCAGTGCGGCGTGCTTGCGGTGGTAGTGACGACGGGCGAGCAAGCCGCGCACCTGTGCCTGAAGGATGGGTGCCCAGCGCGAGACGATGCGATCCTCGTCGGCGCGGCGTTGGCGCTCGGCCTCAGCCGCCGCAGCGGCAGCGGCCCTGGCCTCTTGCTCCTTGCGGCGAAGGATCTCGGCCTGGACGCGATGGGCAAAGCGCATACGAGCGACAAAGGCGCGCGCGGCGGTCTGGAGCGCCAGGACCGAGTCGAAGTTCTCTCTGAGCTCGCGGTCGATGCGTTCCTGCTCGGACTCGGGCTCTGGTTCGGGCTCGATGTTCATCTCCTTCGCGAGGGCCTTGCCGACGGCGCCAAAGGAGGGCATGGCGACGCCCGAGGCGTCGAGGCCCTTCTGGGTCTTTTGGAGCTGGTCGTCTGTGAATTCGAGCTTGCCGATGAGGTTGCCGACCTTGAGCGCCCTGCCCTGGCGAGCGAGGACGTGGCTGAGGGCGTGGATGCAGTAGACGACCTTGGGGAAGTTTTTCTTTTCGTAGAGGTCAGTGAGCTCGAAGTGGAAAAAGTGCGGGAGGCCGATCTTGTTGATGAAGCTGAAAAAGTAGTTGATGTTGTCCGTGTGGCGGTACTGGAGCTTGGGGTGGACAAAGATGCGCGGGACGCAGTTGGGCTCAAAGTTCTTTGCGAGCTTGGCGAGGAAGATGCCGTCGCGCATTTCGTTTTCCATCTCGACGACGTGGCCGAGCTGTTCGCCGACGTGGAGCTCCATCCATTCCTTGGCCTCGCCGCAGTGGCAGAGGTACTCGTAGGCCTGGAGGAGGTGGCGCTGGGTGTCCATCCACTTGCTCGAGCTGGTGAGGGGCAGGGTGGAGGCGGTGGCCGAGGGGCGGCCGAGCGCCATGGTGCCGGGCCCGTCTGCGCGCGCGAGGCGGATGCGACCGTGGAGGCCGGCGACGTCTTCTGCGCCGGTGGTGATGCCGGGCAGGACGATTTCGCCCTCCTGGTCTTCGCTCTCCATGCGGCCGGGGCGAGCGGGTTTGTGCCAGCCTTCGTCGATGGTGGGCTCGAGGTTGAGCGAGTTGAGCGAGTGTGCGAGTGGCGAGGCTGTGGCGTCGATGCTGTGGGTGCGCTGTCCCCTTGCGCGGCCGACGGTCATGCGGGTGTGTCCGTGCTGGTCGCCGAGGGCGGAGAGGTCGTCGGTCTTTTGGGTAAAGTTCTTGATCATCTTGAGTGCGCCGACGCTGGAGCGCTTGAGGTCCTTGACGCCTCCGAGGTGGAGCTGAGAGGGGGCGTGGGCGGCGGG